CTCTCTCTCTCTCTCTCTCTCTCTCTCTCTCTCTCTCTCTCTCTCTCTGTGTGTGTGTTCGGGTCGGCCGAGAGGTTGGAGACGGAAGAGTGGTTCGGCCAGGGGAGGTAGAGGGGAAGGAGGAGGTCGGACGACCAGGCTTGGACGGGTGAGGTCGGTAGTGGGAGGCGTCGGGCAGAGAGGTATCGGGAGAGGCAAGGGAGATCCGAGTGCTTGGGCTCGGGTAGGGTTTGTGGAGGCGTGGAGCTCAGGATTTGATCGGAGAGGAAGGAGATGGAGAGAGGGATTTGCGTGTGGAAAGAGATCGGGAGAGGGCAGTGGAGCAAGGTAGCGAATGGAAGGAGCAGCGGCTGAACCCCTCGTTTGGATCGGGTATTTAACGACAGGAGCTAGAGTGAGATCGAGATCTCTGCAGACGTGCGATAGGACCATTCGGCGCCGATTGCAGGATATGGGGCACTGTAGCAACGGCGGGATCTCAACTGGACTTGCGGCATGGGCAACGACAGGTAATCATTTTAAGCATTTTTTATTTTGTTTTCTTTTATCTTGATGCAGAGGTCAACAGTTTCCAACCAAAAAATCATAAATGAAGAATCTGGTGAAGAAAGTATGCAATACATACAAAACAATTTCATACAGATTAAAAATCCTGCAAATTATTTTTAACGAAAGAAAAATTATGACAAGATCTGATGATCTGATCTACATTAAAATTGAAGGAAACTGCAAGATATTTATCCTTAATAAATAAGTGCAAAAAGAAGAAATATGTTGGCAATCAAAAGACCTTACTCAAATAATGAAGCCAGTTGAGTAAATCCGCCAAAAGGACACCATTGATATCCAAGAGGCTGCAAAAGAATATTATACAATTGCTACATTATTTTCCATTTGGCATCATACATTTACTAAAAAGTGCAAATAGCCAACATATAAAAGAGCTTGAAAAGGATAACCAAAAAACTTGTGCAGTAACACAAATAAAGACTCGTGGCTAGATCTAAGTTCCAACTAATCCTAGGTCAAACTTATTCATAAATTTAAATTGAATTTATTTAATTAGACCTATTTCTATTGAAATTAGATAGAACTATTCTTTTGGATAATTTTGTTTTAAATTTTCAATAAGATAAGAAGATTAGATCTGAGTTTGAAGAGAAGATCAATTTTCAATTTAAATTCTAAAACATTCTATAAATAGGGTTAAGGATGTTATTTTTTTATTATTATGAATTGAAATAAATCATTTTCCCTTAATTCCCTCCCTTCTCCTAGCCAGCTTATTTCCTTTTTTTTCTCCCAAATCTCACTCTCTCCTGTCCCAGTCTCTCACTCATGTGGCACAATGCCCTCGGCTGACTCTCTCCAATAGCAAAAAGGAAATAAGTTCCTCTCATTCTTGGCTTGCCTTCAACCTGCAAGATCCCTCTCAATTCTATCAGAAATCAAGTAAATAACAAGGTGAAAGAACAGAAAAATCAAGATGACCTACACCTACAATATCTCTAACTTAGTATCATAACAATTTTCTGATGCTGAACCCTAGGTCACTAACCCAATTCAATCCACTTTCCTTATTAACCTTCCAATACTATCACCCAAGAGAAATCAACCCAATCTCTTACACAAAGTGTTTCTACCGAACCCCACATCACCTGACCCAATGCCAAAAAATAAAATAATAATAATAATAACTCCTCTCATCCCTTGTGTATGTCCAAAACAACCGCTTTTATTTCCAGAATCCAAAAATAAAAAACAATAACCCTTAAAATTTCAAACCTAATCCTAAAATCACTCGGTCAAAATCCTTTAAATTGGGAGATAACGGGAATACACAAGATTAAATAGATTCAGCGGAAATAAAGATGACAACAGTAAATTTTGTGGAGTGGATCTCATATCTAGAACAATACTTGTGGAGATTTGACCATGTTCTGCTATAAGGTCTCATCGCTGTTGAACTGCGGCATTTTAATTCTATGAAGTAGTCTCTTACTATGAAGTAGTCTCTTAAGCTAAGTGAAACCAAAATTTAGATTGATTTCAGATGAGACTTAGCTGAAACCGAATAATTTTGACGGGTTGGGATCAATTTCAGATGAAACTTCAAACCTTTTGTGATATAATGCCCAAAATGAACAATAAAAATGGTGATTCATTTCGATCCATATAAAAATAAAATAAAAAAAAAACCTCTTAATATGGTCACCAATTACGGAAGTGGCCCATATGCATGGCTGAGCCTTACAATCTGACGATAATACATTACTCTAGAATATATGTATAACTTGTGGATGCTTAAATATTGACAAATGCATGAGGGCTTAATTAAATTCAGATGAAAACACAAAAAAGCAGTTATCAGATTAATATGGTACCATTCCTTCTACAGTTTGAAAAGTACAGATAAATATAGGATATCCATTATAAATAGATGGATTCTTTATAATAGCCAACTCAGGAAACCTAGCACAAACTCCATTATTTTTCTACCAAATGTCCAAAACCTGACAAGAAGGAAATTAAGGAATGAAAAAACAGAAGGCACAGAAGGACAACTAGACAAAAGCATGCACCAACATAACTAGCGCTCCAAAAACATTTGATCGAGAAACTTTTAGAAAAAGTTAAAATTGAGGTAGAGTCCTACAGCTGCTTATGAAATCAAGTTCAGAAGGCCCATTCTCAGATATTTTTGTAATGGAAACATAAGAGAGTGATCATCAGAATCTAACTTCATACAAATTGCAAAACCAAGCAAGCGTACTCATACAACTAAAAACTGTTAAAAAAGACAGGAGAAGAACATTTCACTTCTCTTATTCAATAGATAGAAGAAGTACAATACTTGACAGCCTAAGTTGTGAGGCCAAAATAGAAAGAAAGCTAGGTAATAAAATCAGGCCATAACCAGCCCAATAAATAAGGAAAATAGGAATGAAATTCACATAATTATTAACAGCAACTTGAGGAATGAATGCAACAAAAAATTCCTTTCCTCATCAAGAGGCAGCCCAGCAGACAACAAACGACAAGGCAACAACTAATGGGCGACAAGGCCAGCAAAAGTAGCAATTGTTGGGCTGCAGTTTGCAGACTGAATGCTGGTTGGTTTCCTGCAGTGTTTGGATAGCTGAAATATTTGGTTTCATAAGTACTTCCTGAACGGTTTGGATAATAGTTGGAGAGATTTCTAGAATTGATGGTATGTTCAATGTTAATTCCAGAAGTACTTTCTGATTTCCTGGAGAGACAGATGCAGCTTTCAAGGCTCTTGTTTTCAAAATTTCGACACTCCCTCGCAAACTGGGAATATATGTTGATCATTCCAAGCTTAAAAATAAGATTGTCATGTAATTGACTAAGAGCTTTTGTAAGGATATCAACAATTTGTTGTTTAGTTGTAGTGTAACTAACTTGGATAATTCCTTGTTCAATTTTCTCCTTTATAAAGTATCCATTATTCTCAACATATTTAGTCTGATCATGGTAAAAAATATTCTTAGCAATGTTCAAAAGCTTGATTAACAGACTCTCTTAGAAAAAGAAAAAGAAAAAGACTCCATTATCCTTGGTTATGTAGTGAAAATTTTTAATCTTCTATGAGACGTCACAGCAACATTTTCATAAATTGTATTGGTAATCGTCTTGAATTCTGCCATCACTGCTCTAAGCAACAACATATTGTTTGTTGCTTCTTTAAGTGACTAAACTTCCCTACAAAATGAGCAATAACCATATGCAACATAACAATTAATCATAGAGCAATGTTGTTGCTGTAATTTATATTAGATTTAAATGAGAATTTGATTATTAATAGGACACAATGGAGGTAAAGGATTCATGTAGCCGACCCCATGTAGTGGGATAAAGACTTGATGTTGTTGTTAATGTATAGATTTTGCCGGTCAACAATAATAAATATTCTTATACTTTTGTTAGTCCCTTTCTTAAATAATAGGCATCTTTCTAAGATATCTTAAAATTATTAATGGCATTCAATTAAATAGATATGATGCAGTAAGTACAACATTCCCCAATAATGTTTTGAGATATTACTAGAGATCAAAATTGAGTGAGCACCCTTAAAAAATGTATTTTTCCTTTTTGCTACTCTATTTTATTTAAGTGTATAGATACAAGAACTTTGATAAATAATTTCTTACTGAAGGATATAGTCTCCAAGAATGAAATAAAAATAATCTTTTATATTATAAGTCATAAAGACATGAATATTGATTTTGAACTGGGTTTATCTACAAGAGAATTCTTCCAAATAGAATTGGTTTCAAATTTATCTTGTAGTACAAAGATCCAAGTGCTTATAATATGATCGTCAACAAAAGATATGAACCATTTAGTATTAAAAAATGTTAACTAAAGTTGGTCTCTAAATTCCAATATGAATGATAACAAAAGATTTTGATGCTTATAAGGATGATTAGAATAGGAATTTTGTGGGTATTTATACAATTTGAATGCTTCACACTGGAATGCTTCAAGATTTATACTGATGGAAAAAAAAAAGAACAATTTTTTTAGATATCTAAAATTTGATTATGAAGGCAATCCTGCTATAACATAATTGCATTTTCGTTATAGGACAAGAAAAGGAAAAAAATGGTCTTTTGACTATTTTTAGTGAACTATTTTAAATTTTTAATCACATACTATATAAAATGTCTGATTTAATCCTTAAAACTCCTTAAATATAAGCCAAAATAATCTTGCTATTAAAAGTAATGAAAATTGTAGTTAAATTAACTCATGATGTTAAAAATGAGGATATTTTAAGAATAAACATATTTTTTTATTTTTATAATATTTAATTTTCTTTTTATCTTATTTCTTATTATACAACAGTTGACATCATATACAACAAGAGTGAATTGAGATTGTACATATTGCAAAGCGAGATGATTTTCGATAAAAATAATTTTGTTTGACATTTTTTTTATCTTGATTCCATTGTAATAAAATACATTGAGTTTAATATTTTTGTTCCAAAATATTACAGTTTTATATTTCAATATAGATTTTAATGAAATTATTCTTTTAGAAAAATTAAATATGCTTTTTAATTGTTTAATTATTTTCATTTATGTAATAAAAAAACAAAATTGAAGAAATTCTCACTGACCTATCTACAAAAAGTCAAAAAATTGAAAAGATACTTTGAATTTTATTGTTTGATTTTGTACAAATAGTGGAAGTATATATAGGCTTCTCCAAAAAGTCTTAAAATGAAAATAAATCAAAGCTATTTATTAAAAAAATCCCTAAGATGGGCCAGCAAAGAGGAAGACCAGACACACGAATTGCAATCTAAGGGACATAAGAGGATAAATACAACGATTAGAACCCTTATCCATGTGCTCAAATATCACAACCATGATTGGTTGAGATGTGGGTACCACCAATGGCTAGCCATTTGTGGAAGAGGGGGCAAAAAGCTTATTGGTGTTGTTAGCTGTGATGTGGAACCCCCCATCAGACTAAATAGTATAAATATGCTATTCCATATTTGCATAAAATATCTTTAAATGCAGGGTTGCAAAGTCATTTGAAGAGAATGTCTGCAAGTTTATTTTCTGTTAGCATATATAGAATGCAAATCAACCAACTTTATAGTATCTCTTTTATGAAAAGTTTATTCACCTCCACATGTATGATACAATCATATTGTACTAGATTATGAGCAATACTAAAAACAAATTTATTATCACAGTATATCTTCATTGTCCTCTCCCATTTGACTTTTAAATCTTCCAAAAATAATTTTGATCCATAGAAGCTCACATATTTCTTAAATAATGGTGCTAAATTTAGATTCATCACTAGATCTTGA